ACAACAGCATCATGTAAGACTTGGGTTGGCAGCGGTCCAGCGAAACCACACCGGGGCGAAGAGGAAATCCTATCATGGGTGGCGGCGGAGGTCGCTTCAAGGACAGGTAGATTGACTTTTGAGCCTTTTTCCCATGCCAAAAGACCACGACACAGTAGTGCCGAATCGGGCAATTGATGAAGCTGACGAAACTGGCTGGTGATGCTCCTTCTGAGGTTGTAGTGACTTGAATGGGACAGCTACGACTGCCTAAAAATCTGTCTGCTTCGTCTATCGATGGATTACCTAAGTCATCGGTCCAGCCCCTGAATTTGCGGTCAGTAGCAGCCACAGGGCTTTGGCACCCGCACCGCCACTTAACTTGGGCAGCCACTGGCGAGTTTAAGCTTGAATCACTGGCGGCTTCTATGCTCCGCCCACCTCCACCTCCCGCCCCTCCCAAAGCTGTCCCTCAGTGATACTACCAGAACGAAGACAGCACCCATTGTCACCAGTGATGATCATCAGAAGCTCCTAGACCATCCATTCGCCATCATTTTCTGTCAGCTGTCGAATTGCTGGCCACCAGCCCGTCATCGCTCAGCAACCACAGTGCAGTGGCCGTTGTGCGGCCAGTCCCTCTGTACTCCCCCGCACTGGAGCTGGCTTCGGCGACGTCCGACGGGGTTATCGTTACCACAACCTTGCGACCTTCCCGATCAGTTCTGGGCCGGCGGACCCTTCACCACCAGGACGGAGCGTCTCCAGCGCAGCTCAGCAGCACATTGGGTGCCTCCCAGCCGACTTCGCTTGCCACCTCGGTACAAGGCGGCCAGTGACGCCCTGCGCCTTGCCCACAACAAGAAGGACCCAAGCCTCGCCTGGCGATTTTTGTGAATGGCGGCGTTCTCAAATCTCAAGGGATCCTGACTATCGAACTAACGGCCGCCGGCTATCGCCTGGTTCCTGGACGTGGCGAGGGGCTGTCCGACAGCAAATCCCGAGTACGCAGTCTGCAGCGACCGACATGACCAGTGATAGTCTGGCAATCAACGAGCTTCCCCAGCAGTGACGAGGACCCAGAAGGAACTGAACAAAAGAGCTGCCAAATGTTGCCCGACAACGGCATTCATTGACAGGAACAACAGAGGGGAATAGAAGATTGGGACCCAACCTCCAACCACGCTCCAAGCTCCAACTACGCTCCAAGCTCCGCAAACTCAAAAAGCATGGCCGCAATCGCCGTTGAGATTGGTCAATGCCTCTCTCGCGCTCTGCCGGGGGCCTGCTTCCCCGCCAAAAAGCCCCAACGGCGCCCGCCCAAGGACGGCAATTGACCCGCTGATAAGCCTCAAGTGAGCCTATGGCGTCTGCACGTGGGGGAGGGGCTCAAGACATCCCGAGCATCCTCTACGACACTCTGGGACCTGGATACCTTGGCCAGGCACCTCGTCGGCGCCCTCCAGCCACTCACCATCCAGAGATTAGAGCTTCCATGTTCGTGGTCCCTGGAGAGCCGGCGTCCCAGCAGTTCCAACGCCCCGCTCGCGGCTGCAGCCAAGCACATGTTGCCGTCACTTCCCATGTGGGCAACCGAGTCTTACAAGTCGTACCGATGGTATTTAGTCCAAGTCGGCCCTCCCTTCGACTGCAGATCATGCCGACGCGTTCTGCAGCTCAATCTGTCACCTCGTTGAGTCCTGTCTGCACTCGTTCCCGTGGCACCGACAAGTCCTAGTCACCCCCAGCAACTACCACCAAGATGAGACAGAACATCCTGCCGGCCCTGGCGTTCGCCGCCGGTGCTGTCGTCGCCTCGCACGAGAAGATCGACATCGACCAGCTCTACAGCTCCCGCATGATGAAGCGTGGTGTTGACGCGGCCGGCAACTTCAACATGTGTATGTGATGCCTCTTCCCAGTTGGGCCATACGTCTCATTAACAACAACGACAGCCTTCTTCCACATCAACGACGTTCACGCGCACCTCGACGAGTTCTCTTCCTCGGGCACTGACTGCACGCGCCCCGAGCGCGGTTGCTTCGGCGGTTACGCCCGTGTCAAGCATGCCATTGATGAGCTCCGTCCCCAGTACGAGAACTCGCTGTTCCTGGATGCCGGCGACGAGTTTCAGGGCACCCTCTTCTACACCTTTTACAAGGGAGAGAAGATTGCCGAGACGGTCAACCAGCTCGGATTTGATGCCATGACTCTCGGCAACCACGAATTTGACGGTGGTGATGATGAGCTCGGCGAGTTCCTGCTGAACCTGACCTTCCCCGTCCTCTCGGCCAACATTGTCAGCACTCACCCCGCTCTCAACAAGACCATCCTGCCGTACAAGATCTACGAGAAGCACGGCGTGGCCGTCATTGGCTGCACAACCCAGACCACGGCCAACATTGCCAACCCTGGACCTGGCACTGAGTTCCTCGACGTCGTCAGCAGCGTTCAGCGTGCCATCGACGAGATCCACGCCACCACCGACATTAAGCGTATTGTGGCTCTCACCCACATCGGCTACACTGACGATCAGGCGCTTGCTGCTGCCACCACTGGTCTGTCCCTGATCATGGGTGGTCACTCACACACGCCCCTGGGCACCGCTACTCCTGCTGGTACGGCTCCGCAGGGTGATTACCCCACCATTGTCAAGAACGCCAACGGTGATGATGTCTTCGTCGTTCAGGCCTGGCGCTGGGGCCAGTACCTCGGCTACATTGACGTCACCTTTGATGAGGAGGGCCATGCTCTCGCCTACCACGGCGGTCCCATCCACCTCACCAACAAGACTGCGGAGGATGCGGCTCTCAAGGCCCAGATCAAGTCGTGGCGCGGTCCTTTCGAGGAGTTCGCTGCCGAGGTCATTGGCTTCACCAACGTGGAACTCGTCCAGAGCACTTGCCAGACGCAAGAGTGCACTCTAGGCAACGTCATGGCTGACGCCATGTACGAGTACCGCGCTTCTGAGGGTGCCGACTTTGCGCTGGTCAACGCCGGCGGCATTCGCGCCGGTATTGAGGCTGGTGATATTACTCGTGGCAACGTCCTGATCTCCTTCCCCTTCGGCAACGCCATCACTGAGCTCAAGTTCTCTGGTGCTGACGTCCGCCGCATCCTCGAGGGCTGCGTCAGCCGCGTCAACCAGTTCAACGGCCGCCCCGTCACGTCGGGCTTCCAGGTCTCTGGCAGCATCAAGATCCAGTACAACCCTGCTCTCGCTGTTGGCTCGCGCCTCGTCAGCGTCTTGATCAATGGCGAGGAGATTGAGGACGATGCCGAGTACACCATTGTCACGCTCGACTTCCTTGCCGGCGGCGGTGACAACGTTTTCGAGCTGACCACCAACTTCATCCCGCTTGACCTGCAGGACGAGGTTCTCACCCGCTACGTCCGCGACAACAACCCTATCAACGCGCAGATTGAGGGCCGCATCGAAGTTGTCGACACGGTGCCCACTGTGCCTACCACCACGGCTGTGCCCACGTCAACGAGGCCGCCCTGCATTCCCCGTCCCAAGACGACGACTCCTCCTTGAGGAGAGGGTTGTTGGAGTGGTGTAATATGATTAGCTCCCCATAATTCACATAATTAACTTGATACGCTATATGAAGGCATTGGATGAAGTGATGAGGTTTCTGCAAATTTTCGGTGCAATCTTGACGGGTTTCTTCTACTAGTATCGAACGCCAATGGTCGTACCGTTGCGTACAGGCCATTGTGTTGCTGGCTGGTGCGGAGCGAAGTAAGCTTTTGCCCTCATTTAAGTTCAGTATCGACTTGAGGCCACGACAGCACTGGCAGCGAGGCGACCCCAAGTATGGCGCCATAAACCAACCGCGACAAGGAAAAGTAGCGAGCTTGTTGACTTCATTGGAGACATTGTTGTCTCATCCTCGTCTCTCTAGCGGCAACCCTGATTTGTGACCCAGCAATCCACTCCAGCGCAGCCCCAAAAGAAAATAAACAATTCACCCTCCCTTCTGCCATTCCCGACATTCCGTTCACTCGCTCGTCATCTTGCCCCAGAAGGGCGCGCGCCACTGTCCTCTCTTTTCCCTCGTGACTCCAGCCTAGCACGGCCCCGTGTTGCAGTCGCCAATGGTGATGATCTGGTCCACTTCCACGCTCTCGACCTCGGGAAACGCGGCCAGCGAGTCGCGCGTGTGCTCCTCCGTCTCGACGGCGAGACCGTTGAAGAAGTCAAAGCGGGCGGTGACCTCGGCGGGCGCGACGGCCGTGATCTTGGCGACGTACTCGTCGATGGACGCGCCCTGGTCCTTCCGTCAGTGCCCGCGTTCCGCACGAGGATCCCGAGACGGGGTGGCGTGTTGTGCCGCTTACCTTCTTCAGGAAGATGATGTACTTCTCGGCCGACACGAGGGTTGACGCCACGGCGGCCGCGACGGAGAAAAGGGCTGTGAATCTCATTTTTGGGGACAGCAAAAGTGGTGAGCACGGCGGGATGTTGGATGGGTGGCTGCTGTGGTCTTTTTAGCTGACGACAGCTGTTTGGTTGGACAGTAGGGTGCCTTATACTCTCCCCCCTCCCCCCCCCCTCCCGCTGCAGCCTTTGATGTGGTGTCTCACGCCAAAGACTAATTCGTTCCAGTGGTGAGATTCAGGGTCTGTGTTCCCTGCTCGGCACGCACGAAGGTTCGACTGGGTCTCTTCGCTCCGTGACAGGGGAGAACAGGGTTGCGAGATCTGCCGAGACGGCAGTGAGAGACGGGCCGGGTGGGGGGGGGAGACGGGGGTGGAGACAGGGTGCAATGGCTTGTGGGAGGGTGCCGTCGCCTCGTTACCGTGCAAGTCAAACGTAAACATGTGACGAGTGATGGAGGGGGCTGCCCAAGCTGGGATCTGAATCACCTAGAGATGCCGTCGTGGACAAGGTGGTTGGAACGGCATGTAAAGTCTCGGGCGCGCAACACACATACTCAAAGTCCAGAACACGACATTTCTCCCAATCGTCACAGAATCCTATCATTTCCCGGTACATGCATGCTACGGCCCGGCCCTCAGTCAAAGCGGACCTCCCTACCCGTCCTGGCGCTCTCGCGAATCGCCTCGAGGATCCTCAGCACATCCCTCGCCTGCGTCGCCGGCACAGGCACGTCCTCCTCCCTGCCGCTCGCCAGGGCCGTGGCAAAGCCCTCAAACAGCCGGACGTACGTCTCGGGCTTGTCGGTCAGCAGCGTCCTGCCCTCGACGCTGCCGTCCTCGCGGACAACGACGAGGCGGCCGGCGGCGGCCTCTGGCTCGACGCCGAACCCGGGATCCGTGGGCTTGGCGCCGTCCTTGAGCTGGGGCTCCTGGACGTCGAGCCCCGGCTTGCGGTACGAGCCCTTGCTGCCGCGCAGCCAGAAGCGCGGCTGGGCCTCCTCGACGGACAGCACGCCGGCGCGCACCGTGACGACGAGGCCCGACGCGTACGACAGCACGGCGTGCAGGCTGTCCGGGTCCTCGGCGTCGAGGCGGCCGGCGCGCTGGTCGAGGAGGCGGCCGTAGACGGCGGCGGGCGTGCCGAAGAGGGCGTAGGCCTGGTCGACGAGGTGGCTGCCGAGGTCGAAGAGGACGCCGCCGCCGCGGTCCATCGACAGGCTGCCCTTCCAGGTCGTCGGCTTGTCGGGGCGGTAGCGGTCAAAGTGCGTGTCGAGCTCGAGCGCGCGGCCGAGGGTGCCGTCGCGGAGGAGGCGGCGCAGCGTCAGAAAGTCGGAATCCCACCGCCGGTTCTGGTAGACACAGATGAGGCGGTTGTGCTCGCGCGCGAGGGCGATGAGGGCGTCGGCCTCGGCGGCTGTCGGCACGAAGGGCTTCTCGACGAGGACGTGCTTGCCGGCACGCAGGGCCTGCGAGGCGAGGTCAAAGTGCGTGTCGGGCGGCGTGAGGATGCCGACGACGTCCACGGCCGGGTCGGCGAGAGCGGGCGCCAGGGAGGTGTGGTGCGTGAGAGAGGGATAGTCGGCTGGTGCGGACGATTCAGCCGTTGGGTTACGCTGAATGATGGTGTGCAAATTCAGAGTCGGGACGAGGTTGATAAAGGGAATGTGGAAGACCTTGGCCGAGAGGCTTGAAACTGTCAGAGGCGGAGGGGGGGACTGTAGGGATTGAGGAAGGGGGGCTTACCCGTAGCCGATGATGGCAACATTGAACTTCTTTTCGGCGGCCATGGTGTCTTCGTCTGATGGATGATTCGCGTTGCTCTACAGGCTTTGGTTGTTGACCTGACCCGGCAATGCCATCAAGAAGAAGGAAGACGATGGTTTATGAGCTGTTGCTCGAGCTGTTGCTCGAGCTGCCCCTCCTCCCACTTGACCCCCACTGGCGGGGTGAGGTGATGAGGGGACGCTAAGGTGGTAGCGACAGGGGGGCTGCGTGAGCTACAGGGCAGAGCTAAGCTGTTTGTCCCCTAACTCTGGCAAAATGGCGTCACTGGCCACTGGTCCGAGACCTGACCCGCGACCTGGCCCGAGACTCCGCGGAGCAGCTTGGGGCCCCCAACTCCACCAGCTTCGTTGAATACGTCGTTAAAATCTCATCACACCGAGGAGCCTCCGGATCTAGGCCAGCCGCTGATAAATACAATGGACAGACTGTCCTCTTTGTGAGCCAAAATGAGAACGCTCCGTTGTCAATTGAGTCACACCGGCGGCTGGCCACGTAGGCAGTGGAATGACGTTCTCGCTGTTTCGTATTCATCATGGCTCTTCTTCTGTCTGAACGCCATCCAGCCGGGCTCCAACTCAGCCAGGCAAACCTTCATATCTAGGAAACAGAAACACAAGCACCTTCGCTCTTCGTCTAAGCGTTTCGACCTGTTGCGCCCGGCCATCTACCCATAGAATTCTTCGTCCGCCCTTCTGCAAACTCGGCAGCACTCTCACGCCCCCGTAAATCGCACCCACTGCAGCACAAAGATGCGACACAGCAGACTGAACGCCGCGAACACGACAAAAATCTGCGAAAAGTCCCACCAGTTCTTCGTCCGGATCTCCGACTCGATGTAGTCCTGCTTGTGGCCCACGAGCGGCGGGAAGCGCCCCGTCGACAGGTACTGCTCCATGAGCGCGTCCTTCTCATACCACCTCGCGCGCAGCCACAGCTCGAACGCCTCGGCATCCTCGAGCGGGATTTCCGACACCTTGAAGCGGCGCCAGTGGAAGTTGACCGACTTGGGCGGCCGGCCCTGGAAGTAGGTGCTCGAGAGCGTGAAGTAGTCTTGGCCAAACTTGCCGCGCCTGGTCTCGTCAGCCGCCGGTCCAGTCGTGATGGGGTTTGAAGAAGTCAAGATACTTACGGGATGCCCTCGTACGCCACGGTGCAGTCATAGACATAGTCGACCGTGTCCCCGAGCTCCTTGAGGCAGAAGTACATGCCCGTGCTCCGCGGCAGCAGCACGTGCTCGCCATCCTTGAGCCCTGTCTTCTTCGCCCAGGCCGCCGACTTGGTGCGCCCGTTCAACGCGAGATTCGTGCCCTCGGGGAAGAGCAGCAGCCACATGGGGCTCAGGAAGCTGGTGCCGTCGGGGGCGCGCTGCCTCTTCTTGAGCTGGCCGAGGCGGTGGGCGAGGCGCGGCTGGTCGGTGGCCATCTTGCGCGACATGAAGATGAAGCCGTAGAACATCATGCCCCAGCCGATAAACGGGATCCACTTGAGCGACTCCTTGAGGATGATGTAGATGTGGCCGTGCATGCGCGGTGTGTTGGCGTAGCCGATCCACCAGAGGTAGAGCCAGTCGGTGTAGATCTGGTGGTTGGCCACGAGCACGAGACGCTCGGGAAAGTCAAACTCGACCATGCCGTCGGGCTGCTGGCGCATCTGGTGGGCGACCGAGGCGTCGCCGCTGATGCGGATCTTGGTGGGGCCCCACCACTGCGTCATGGTCGTCGTGAGGAGCGCAAACGACTGCTTCGTCAGGGCCATGTAGGCGTAGTAAAGGTCGCGTCGGATGTAGTACAGAGGCGCGCCGAGGAACTGGGTTGTGCCGATGCTGGGGAGGCGCGGCGTTAGCGGACGGAACGGAGAAAGCAGGATGGCAGAACGGAAGGAGGGAGGAGGAGGAGGAGGAGGAGGAGGGGGAGACGTACGCAACACAGCAGCACAAAAAGTAGGTCGCCCATGTGAAGCCTCTGACGATTTGCATGAATGTCCCGTGCTTGGCCCTTCCTGCCGGATGCGCAATTTCTGGTGTCTTCATATTTGAACCGGCGTCGGGCTTCAACGCGGGGAAGACTGTCGTCTTGGGCGCGGGATCGGGGAGTTCGGTAGCCATGAGGGCGGGTTTGTGCCGTTCACACAGCTGATGCAGACTGCAATGCTTCAAGACGGGTGCTGCCAAAGGCGAGGGCAGTGATATAGGAGTGATGGGCGGTTGGACGGTCCGAGCGGTTGACGTAGGGTCCCAGGGTGAAGCAGTCGGTGGAAGCTAAATCGCGGGGTCGAAACGAGCAAAGGCAGAGAGTCGAGTCGCGCCACGGCACCAATGCCTCGCAAGGAAGATCAAGAGGAGAGAAGTGCTATCAGGATCATTCCGACGGCGAAGCCATGAGAGAGTCGAGTGGTCTGAGGAGGGTCAGGCCGAGATGGGCGGCTGACGATGTTTGCAGCAGAGGAGCCCTGTCCGGTGCGGCCGAAGCTGTGGTGGATCGCTGTAGGCATCAACGTTGGGATCAGCCCCAGCGATCACGTTCCACCGCCTCGGCACCTGATGGTGGTGCCCCACCCCACAGGGTCGCATCCACATCACGTGAAAGACCCCTTGCATGTCGAGTTGTGAGTGTGTTGCATGGTGGTCGTTTCTCGTAACGTATCTTATTGCTACGGATTGTATTGGGGTTTCGTCGTCGAATGTGAAGTGATGTAACCCTCTACTATGGTCCATGATTCGTCTCCCAATCGGGTCCCTTGGCAGTCATTATGATCAACATCAGAATCCCTTGCCCCGTTCTTCAAGTCAGCTACGACTGATCTTCACGAGCTGTTGCTATGCGAGCCGAGGATGTGGTGGAGTTTTTGTGTTCGATCTACCCGCTGCTTGGCGTATTCTGCTCAGTGTCGTGCTTGGACTCGGTGAGATTTTCGCATACCATGGCCTTGGAAACGTCCTGCTTAGCGGCCCCACCAGTCGTGAGCTGGAGACAGTTGCAGCACTTCCAAGACAGCGTGACAACATCCAAGGGCGTGCAGTTGTGGCACATGGCGTGGTTGCATAGGACTCCGTGGCATGTCTTGCCGTTGCAAAGGCTACGGTTGTTCATTTTGGGGAATGTTCGAGTTGCGTGTGATCTGACTTGGTTGATCATGTCTGGTTGGCCGGAGTATGATCGAAACTTGAAAGATTATCACGCATCTTTAAAGAGGATTAAGGGATGTGCCAATTCACTGCAACTCCTAAATTCACCACGCTCGAGAACATGGATTGAGAGTGACTGTCTACCTAGTCTGAAGTTGGCATTGGCTTAGAGCCAGAGCACATATTTTTACTGCAAAGAGCCCCTAACAGTCCTTGTAAAACCAAGCACAACCTACCTTCTACTTAGTAGGTAGATAAATAAGTCGAACCACCTACTCCATTCACTGCCAGGAACGCAACCCTATCGTCGCTTGATCCCGGTATTCATCAGTCAACCGTCGTTCCTGAGCAGCACTTGGCCCGTGCGCTGACGTCACATCCCCTCCAAGGCAGCAGCGCACCCTGACACTCCTGCCACTCCGGTCTGCCCCTCGTCTGCCCCTCTCCTGCCCCTCCACCCCTCCCTCAGTGCCGTGTCAACCCAACTCTATCCGGCTACCGTACCACCCGGAAATACCCCCCGTGTCTCGCCAAGTCTCCCAACATCTCCCTCCTCAGATCCTCACGAGAGATCAGTCTCATCATGTCGTCACGCGGGGTTCCCGAGGTTCTCATGAAGAAGGTCGACGAGTACGTCGACTCGCTCGCTCCACAGATCGAACCCCGCATCACGGCCGAGCTCGAGACATTCCAACAAAAGACCATCGACAGCCTCGAGACACAAGTCGTCGACGCCTTTCGTTCCCTCTTCAACACGGACAAGAACAGCTCCGGTGACGCTTCGAGGGGATTCAGCCTCAACAACTCTGCGCCCGATGCCTACGGCGGCCAGTCGCTGCCCTTTGCCGATGAGATTGCCAGCCTGACGCGCGGGTTTAGCAAGATTACGGATGAGGCGAGCGATGATCTCCGCGACATTTTTAACCTTACCGAAGGCGGCGGCGGCGGCGGTGACACCCGTTCGCGTGGTGGCCCCGGCGGCAACAGCTCCTCGTCTGGCGCCAGGGGCTTCCTCTCCGCAGCCTTTGACATAGTCCAAGATCAGCTCGACAACAACAACAAAGGCTCCTCCGGTGGCCAGGGGTTCAAGCTCGACGGCCTCCTCGGCGTCCTCAGTGACACAGTCAAGGACGCCTCGCGCAACCCGGAAGAGAAGGCCCGCCTCATCAGCCCCGAGATCAAGGAGAAGGTCGGCCTCAAGCTGCGGGAGCAGCACGCGCCCATCGCCGCCCAGTTTACGCGCCTCGCGCTCGAGCACATCAAGACCTGGCTGCGCGGCAACACGAGCACGCGCGACCTCGGCGACGGCGTCAAGGGCGAGATTGAAGACCAGGTCAAGGATCTCGTCAAGGGCCTTGGTGGCCTGTTTGGCAGCAAGAAGCCGTCCAATGAAGGCAGCGGTGGCGGCGCCGCGCGGGGTTTCGGCGACCAGACGCGCGACACCGGCGACGGCGACGGGTCCGGCAGCGGCTTCTCCAGGGTCATCAGCGACAAGCTGAGCACCGGCCTCGCCAAGGTGCACCGCAACGTCCGTCTCGAGTTCCGCAAGATTCTCGGCGCCATCGAGAAACAGCTGTTCGAGCTGCTGCCCGACGCCTTCCAGCGCCCACTCGAGAAGATTCTCGGCGGCAACCCCTTTGATGCGCAGCTCGACCGTGACGCCGGCGGCGGCCAGCAGCGGGACCGTGGCTTCGGCGACGACATCAAGACGAAGCTGCTCGACAAGATCCGCGGGCTTGTGCGCAAGGTCCAGGAGACGCTGCGCGAGAGCATCCTCGGCGTCGTCAACGGTGGCCACCGCAAGTTTGAGAAGGAGAGCTGGGTCTTTGTGCAGCAAATGGTCGAGCAAAAGGTGCAGAAGTATCTGCCCAAGGTCAAGATTTCCGTGCCGGACGATATTGGCGACGAGGGCGTCAGCGTCGGTGCTCCGGCGTCGGGGACCCAGCACGTCGGCGGTGTTCAGCCCGGCCAGTCTGCGGCGGGTGGCTATGTGCCGCCGCCGCCGCCGGTGCAGAGCCACGACGGTGCAGGGCAGACGCATGGCCAGCAGGGGTACAGCCCGCCATCGCAGCACAACCCGCCGTCGCAGTACAACCCGCCGTCGCAGTACAACCCGCCGTCGCAGTACCAGCCGGGAAACTCTGCACCGAGCGGGTATGCTGAGCTTGACGGAGGAAGCCAACCCCACAGCCAGTCAAGTTACAAGCCCCCTTCGCCATATCAGTCTGGCAACTCTGGCCAAGGAGGCTACGCCCCACCGCCGCAGGAATTGGACGGCGGAGGATCGACGTACGGCCAGCAGGGGCACAACTCCGCCTCGCCGTACCGGCCGCCGCAGGATGACCGGCCCGGCCAACACCAGGACCAAGGCTACCGGCCGCCTCAGCAGCAGCACGATTACCGACCACAGCAGGATCAGGAATACCGCCCACAGCAACAGTACCAGGCGTATCGACCGCAGGAGCAGTCTCACGGCGAGAATCGCCCCAACGACTACCCGCCCCCACCCTCGCAGTATCAGTCTGGTCAGTCTCAGGGCTACCATGGTGGCCAGAACTACCAGCAGAACCAAGACTACCGCCAAGACCAGGGGGGTCGTCAGGAGCAGGGTTACAGGCGCGAGGATGACTATCGACGAAATGATGACTACAGGCGGGACGACGGCCGTCCGCAGGGCCAGGGGTATCAGCAAGACGGACGGTATGACCAGAATCCTCGGTATTGATGGAGGGCATTTGTTCTGAATTTGTAAAATGCATATGAAGCATATCTGGACCAATGAGGAATTTGACAACAATCTCAGCACAGGTAACGTGCAACATGGACGAAATCGCACCAGCGTGGTGGTGAAGTATGAACCCAAGTGGCGAGAGATCAGTTTCTGCGCATAGTACGTCGCATTAACATGAGGCCTGATCAACATGGAAAGCAAAAGCTTGAAATCCCAGCCATCACAGCCAATAAATGGTCTCGAGGACAATACTCGGAACTGTTTCCTCCTATCCGCTGCGTTATGTATTGTCCTCATTGAAGTTTGACCACATGGCCGGCGAGGGCGGCTATTTGCCATAATTCAATTGGCCGCGAATGGCCTTTGCCCATCCCCACTCACTGTTACATGTTCCCCCTCTCGTCTTCCATCTCTTTCAGCGACCCTTTCTTCTCATTCACTTTCATGGCAAGGCATTGTCCCTCTAGCTGCCCAATACATTACGAACTGCGACGAACTGCGGCCATCAAAGATGAACGTTACAAATGAGACTCACGTCATAGATGCGGTGACCAACGACAAGGTAGAAAGTGAAAAAGTCGAGGCCGCTGAAGGCGAGCCAAATCATGATACTACTCTACTCGACAGTCCCAACACAACAGCCTGGTTACACAACGGCACCAGCACGGCGGTCCCAATCAGCACCGCCGGTGACGACGGCGCTTTGGATCTTTTTCAGGAAGACTTACCCGGCATCAGATACCATGAAGGACGGGAAAGCACGATCGAGGATGTGCGGGACGTGATCAAACTGCTGAACGAGGCCGCGATACCGGCGTGCGTCATCGGCGTCAACGCTCTCCGGTATTTTGGAGCTGGACGAGTCACATGGGTAAGCTTTCGATCCATACATATCTACATATCCGATGGGTTGACCAGCCCGCCGCCAGGAGTGGGACATTTGCGTCCCGGATGAGAGGCTCGATGACGCCGCGGGGATCTTCTTGGCACACGAGGCATACAAGCGCGCCCGGCCGCCGCCCATGGTGCCGTACTCGTTCCGCCACCTCCATCCCGCCTTTCAACTCCGGGCCGCCGAGCTGTTCTTCATCCTGACGCCGTCGTCGCGCTGCTGCGTCGACCCCAGACCCGAGCACTGCGAACGGAGCAATAAGGGCGTCCCCTACCCGCAGATGGCACAGTTTGCACGGTCACTCTTAATCATGCAGGCTGACGCCGATCTAGAGGACTTCGTCGATGGCATGGATTTGGATGTGCAGTGGGCAGAGGCCAATATCGACTTTGCCGATCTGCAGCAACAGGCGCGTGCATTCTGTCGCGCGCATAATCCTGTCTTGGAAGAGAAAGGCCTGGGACAGTTCAACGAAACCTTGGAACGCCGGGGACTTTGGGAGAACATTGTCTGTACCAAGAAGAACCGCATCGACGATACCAAGCAGGGACGGTACAAGACCCGTTGGCGCCGCATCAAGAACGATGTGGATCCACGGACTCGCGACAGGGAGATGTAGCAGGAATAAGGGAGAATTTCTAAGCGCCAACGCATGCTAGAGGATGTTTGCCAGACAGCCAGAAAAAGGAGTTGGTATCCCGTTCGTTGTATTGATCTCATGTTGGAGTGGCAGTTGGTGTCTTGTTTGAGCTACTCGGCAAGTCGTGCCAGGTCCATGGTCAGCCGCTCGCTACCGCCAACACTGGCGCTTTGCTCACATCATGATCAGCACCAACGATGCTGTTGACTTGATCGTGAGCTAACACATCGCGCAGATATTATTTCAAAGGGTGAAAGACTTCGACGTGTTCCGGTCGTTTGTCCAACATTGAAAAAAGCAGATGGCGAAGCTGATATATATTCTGGTGAAACAGCCATGTTGGACCGAGTGACCCTGTCATAAGGCCAGACGACTCCATATGGCCAGCGGCCGGAATATGACCCTCTCTCGGTGCGAGAGGAGCATAAGAGCACGCTTGTCCTCTTGCTACCCTCGAATCGTTCGCATTTAGGCGGAGATGCCTGGACACCATTCATCGGTCACTCATAGTTAAAAAATCACCTAGAACCTGTCTCCGCTTTCCGAATATGCCTTATTATACCGAGGACAGACTTGAATATCTCGAAGAGTCGGCACAAACGGCGAGGCCGGGCGATCAATCGCAGGCGCTGGCGCTGGTAGCTGGTATTTTGGAGCGCAACGCCATTGCCTATGGGGTAATGGGTGGCATGAACTTCTACCTCCGCGGCTCAAGCCGCACGACAGGCGACGTCGATATTGCCGTGGACAACCCACCACGTATGGAGGCCCTATTGAGCATTTTCAACAGCCACGAAAGGTTGGTTCTGCCATTCATGTCCCGACAGCATTCAACTGCCTGTACAAACCCCCCACCCCCCTCGTTGAACGTTGAGGGTATACCCCCGTGATGACGGTCAACAACCAGAAGGCTTGCCTTCAAGGTGGATCTCAGCATGCTCATGGACGCCAACCACGAGTCCATGCCGGCTGTCTGGGCCAAGATCTCCACTGAGACGTACGGAAACTCAAGCGAGCCGCGACCGACGACGAGCGGGGCGTCAGATATAAAAGATACATGTTGCTAATGGAAAGCAGTATACACCGGCCCACCAACAGGATGCAATGGGTATCTGGAGTGGCACGGATCTTCGCCGAAGTTGGCACCCAGTATGTACAGCTTGACCTGAAGCCCAAGGGATCAGAAGGCCATCTGATCCCCCGCGACATTGCGAACTCTGTCGAGAGAATGTCCTTCACAGTTGCTCACATTTCGTTTCAATGCAATATGCTGGCGATCGGCCCACTGGTAGCAGCCAAACTCAAGTCATACTACAATCGCGAGACGCAAGCTGATCTTCATGACTTGCTCTTCATAGTCCGTTCCACAAGGTACGCTCCCCAGGCCAGGCAAGCTTCGGGCAGCTATAGACAGGAATGGATAGTTTTGTTCCTGGAAAAGGCACTCGAGAAAGATAAGAAGTTGGAACAAGAAATTCGATGGACCTTCAACATGGAACGCTCTCGCTCTAACTCTGGTCGGTGAGGCGTCTACTTCAAAATCGGTGTTTTGGATATTTCAAGGTGTTGAAGACATGGAGTCATGTGGTTCAACCTGGAAAATCTCCAAGCTGAGCGAAGGTGTGGGCTCCAGTAAGTATAGCTATGTATGTAGCTCGTACTTATCCTGTCGGATCACACGTACGTTTGTATCACTTCAAGATCGAGTACAGGGACGGCAGTGATGGCTGAAACAAGAAAGAAGTGTGGCCACTTGTCAGATGAGCCTCACGATAAGCGAATGTACCATGTTATTGGCAAGATGAATTTTGACTGCGGAAAGACATAAAATCCTGCGTGGCAACCCATCCCGCCTCACTTATAGTACCCATAAGTGTCGTCGAGCTGTGAGAGCAACGATTGATAATCTCTTCAGGGTCTCTCGATAGTTAGAGTGACCAATACACTCCCTATGCGGCCTGTTAAATATCCGCAAAGCTTATTTACTCGCTATTTTCAGCACTGCTTCGGGCATGCTACAATCAAACAACAGACTGTCAACCGCCAGCCTTGTACTCTCCCAAGGTCTACAGGTCTGACACCACTGTAGAGCCCATCCTCCTTTCGTCGATGCCTGAGAATGTGATGCTCACCGATAAGTCCAAGAATACTGAAGCCATAGTTCACAGCCGTTCAGCTTCCGTGTTGGTGCCAAGATAACCTTTCCAATCGGCCTTTCCCATCGAAAAATCACACATAAATGCCACCCTGTGTACAATTCTTGTCTCGAATTGTTGCATTGTAAGAAATTAACGAGACGTCTTGTCTCTATGTCTAGTTGGCTGAAAAAGTTGAAATGAAAAGAGCCCCCAACGCCAAACTTAGAAAGTAAAAGACATCATACTCTCCCCGCAACAGCCTTATCGGACACCTCGATTCCATGTGCCATGGATTCATAGCTGCTCATCGAGCCACCACCGCCCCGGCTGAACGGCGGCTCATCGTGCCTCCCACTGGCGCTTGTTGTTCTTTGTATGTACGAGCTGGTCGGCGACTGGTCGATTAGGGTATCTGTATCGTTGTGGCTGAAGGGCTTGTCGCCCGGCGCGGGCTTCTTCATTGTGTGCATTTCAACTGTGGTTGTGACAGTAGCCCACGGCCTGTTCTTGCCGTCCTTTGGCTCGTCCAGAGGAGGGGGGTGTTGTGACTTGAGGGTCGTGTCCGCCCCGCGGGTACCGTGTGTGCCGTGAGAGCGCGAGAAGGCTTCATCCGAGGCTGGGTTGTTATCCTGCTTGCGGGCGATCTTGGCGATAAGGTCGGCCATGGACATCTCGATCTTGAGCTTGACGATGTAGGCCAGGGGGTGGAACTGCATGTACCTGTGGGGGAGATCATCGTCAGTAGCTGAACTTGTGTATTAATGCGCGATGGCTTCAAGCAACTTACACAAAGGTGTTGTTCAGGCTCATCATGGCGATGATGAGGACATCCATGCTCAGAGAGAAGATGATGATGAACATGTTGAACCTGACCAAGTTCGAGTACTTGCGGAGACCCAGCTGAACAAGGTTTTGTTGCACGATGCGAATGAAGTAGAAATTGAGACAGGCATCAACTAGCAGGTAGATGACCTTCTCGCAGCGATCCCAGATAAGGTTCACATGGATGTATGTGTCGGAGATCTGTAACCTTGCCGGGACCCAGATGCAGTAAACGGAAATATTGATTGCCGTGATGAGAAGGGCAACGCCGTACTTGAGGCGCCAGACATGTGTCTTGTCGTGAAGCAGAATGGCGCATCTGTTGATAATAATCTGAAGTAAGAACTGAACTTGCAAAGCCCATAAGGTCACTGTGATGCTGTTAGTTCTGAATAAAAGAATTGAGTGCAGGAAGTGGGCCTGAACTAACAGATGCAAAAGTAGAATGCAAAGCTAGGGGGAATGAGCCCCAAGAGGTACATAAAGCAGATGATACCAAAGCCAAGGCAAACCAGGATTTCTCCCCAGATCATCCAAACGTAGGCATTTCTGAAGATGGATCTCCGTCGACGCTTGTAGATGGCCCTTGTTTGCTGAATGGCCGACCATGTCGTCAACCAGCCGATACCAAGTGTAAAGCCCCAGGCCAGCGAGGCAATGATCATGTCATACTCTGTCACCTCCTCGAGGACAAAGCGGTCGGGTAGAAGCGTCAGCATTGTGGCGGCTGCAAAGAAACCGACGGCCTTGGAACCGGTTAACTTCGAAGGTGCGAGAGGAACCGTCCGTGATCTCAGGCGCAGGCGCACAGCAGCGTTAAATGTAGTGGTTCATCCAAATGGACAACCCCTCATGTCTCCTCTCATACATAAGGAGGCGTCGTCGAGAGGAGAAAAAAAGGGGCCGTAATCTGTATTAGTGCCTACAAGCGTGTTCGGTGCCTGCCAAGAACAGTTGTAGCAGTGGCCACTCCACGGCTTGACAGCGACGCTTGTGCGTGTGGTTTGGTGTCGCGGCATGTTTGGCGTCCGTCTGAAGGTGCGCCAGCAGGATGACGTTCCGAGTCAGTGCACAACCACGTTTGATCGGCTGCGGCTGGTCAACGGCCCTTGAACCTAGACGGGAAACGGGGCGGTGCGGCGATCGATTTTCGTTGCAGAGCGCGCCAAGAACGGGGTATCCATGCTATGTCATGGTGAAGAGCTTGGAGCTGAGACGCCGGCTGGGCCTCTAGTCTCTCGGCGCCTGCTCGCCAAATAATGCCTGCCTCGTGATGACTCGCTGCAACTTGCTTTAGGATGAACCAAGCCCTCTGAACAGGCTTCATTACTCTGTGGTCATTACATGGGTCTGGCCCTGGCCTATGGAGGATAGATAGAATCCAGCTACAGACCAAGGTACGAACCTGCATCCTGCCAGGTGGTGGGCAGTTTCGGGGTCGGCTGTGTTCCGATGGGAGCGCCACCGCCATGTTCTCTCATCTGTTGTTTTCTGATACACCAGACTCAGCTTGCATAGGAGTAATCTAAGGCCCTCCCTCCCCCTCCGCCACTCAGCGGCCGTGTCACTCGGAGGCGGGAGCTCGGTGGGCTGTCCGACTTCCGGGTGTCCGCTCTCAAACGTTCTCGTAGAACGACTTCCGCCATAGAACAGACGCTTGTGAAATACCGAGGTGAATGTTCAAGGAGCGTTGGGCACAGACTGAACGTTTAAGGGTCCTCCGGCCCAACAATGGAGCTTGCACACACTTGAGGTCATTGCAGGAGACTGGAACACGGAGAACGCTTGAAAGGCGGCCAAGCACGTGGAGATGTTTGCTGAAGAATTAGAAAGTGCTTGTTTTCCGCAACTAGTTGAGCCCATTTCGCTGTCTAGCATCTTACTATCGTGGTAGTGGTCGGCCTAGAAGGCAGCTAGGGGACCCTGGTGGGATTTGTAGATCAGGCCAAGTTTTTCTCCCCTTCATACGAGCCGTAGATCGCGCTAGGGTCGCCCAGAACGCACGGTCCGGAAATCAGTCTGGGACGTGATCAGTGTCAATGTCGACATTTCTTCGCCGATGCCTCCAAATCATTGCATCGACATCCTAGAAGCAGTTAAGATCACCCAGCCCACTGGGTTGCGGAGGACCTGGTGGAGGGGAAGCGAGGGCGCTCGGTAAGCAGACCTTCAGGCACCGACCTGAGAGACACCTCTCATCCTCCTTTCGATGATCTGGATGCCTAAGAGGCCCTATGTGCCCTAGTTCCTGTGGCGCTAATAGTGCTATGATCGGCTCACTGGTGGCCGGCTGGTTGCCGGCCGGAGGTGAGCGCCACAGAAATTCAACCCTTCGGTTGATCAGGCTCGGTGCTACAGCGCTGAACTGGGTGAGAACTTGAATCTGTGTTCCCACCAGCACGGAGAGCTTCGCGTCCGTAGACGCTACTCTTCCTAGCAAGCCTCACCTCAATCTATGTAGCCTCCTGAAGACAAGATTTGCCAGCGCAAAGTCAAAGCGCATATGACCCCTGTACGCGTGGCGGCCCTTTCATCCCCACAATAGCGTTGACTCGCGTGGTTCATCTGGGTCCAGGTCTAGGTCCCAACTATCTGGTATGGCGGATGTTTACTGCTCCTGGTCTTCGCTTTCAGTATCCAATGAAAGGCCAACTTTGCCCCCTTGCTCCACGTTGGAGGAATCGGTGCTAGGAACAGGACCTCATAGCCATTGAGCCAGAAGGTCCGGCAGATTCTACGTGGGACAACCACCAGGCTTGCTTGGTCTCCCCAGAGAGCGACGCACTTTTGGTGACGCCAACGGCTTGCCAGAGGCTAGAGGAAGCCAAAATACGCACAGTCCAGAGGAATTTCGTATTATGCCGAATGGAAAGTTCCGAATATTCCTACAAGCCGGGTCTATGAGGTGCGACACTTTCCGTTTGCCCCTGAGAAATCTTCAAACAAGCAGCAAAGGTGGATGAATCTCGAAGGGCCACTTTCACGTGGGCTTTGGACCCGTTCCGTCGGGTGTGAAGCGGGGACAAGTGCCCAGAGATGGGTCCGAGCTACAATCATTTGCCATTTAGTCGCAAATGAGATCTAGCGGTCCTACGGAGTCTCAACTTTAGTTACTACGGAGCCTGCCGTCGCTTGGGTTCTCGCCACAACTGTGGCGGGTGATTGTCCCTATTCAGGCTCTCCGTTCGGGCACGAATACCAAGAATGGTCCTCTTGGTTGAGAATAAACCCGCAGGAAGAAGCTCTCAGTATGGGGATCTCACAATTTCGATCTTGTGGGAACCCACTCAAGTCTCCGCGGAAACAACACCATGTCACATTTCACAGCAATTTAATGGATCGAGATGAAGAGATTCGGAGGTTATTAATCTGCGTAATGCTAACAATCTGGGGGGCGCGATGACTGGCAGCCGACGACAAAAGAAAGAAAGATTTTGCATAGCCAATAATGATTATTCCTCCTGTCCAGGGGCAGTCTTAGCCTCGAGAAAGGCACCAAGGGTCCACAAGCTGATCGCAGCTGGGTTGTAGATCGGTTCCCGCCCGACCTCAGGCTCGTCGCTCCAAGCATTATGGCCTGAAAGACTCGTCGACGGTCCAGCCGCCTATTCAGACCGAGGAGTCCCCGCTAGTTCAGCAGCATGGCCGCTCTCACAGTCACGCTTCCAGGGTTGGTCGCCTTCGAGCATATTTTCCAGCTCAGTCAGCTCGTCACGAGGTATTTCTGCCATGTGACGGAATTCGTTTACCATGAGTTGGGTACCTCGGATGAAGTAGAACCATCGGTCATTGAACTTGCCGGGCCCTACGAAGTCGAGGTCGATTTGGTCAGTTGCCTTGGGAAAATAGTGCTCGAAGATCCTGTTCCACTCGGTTAGCATATCGGTCCACCAGTGGTTAAGGACGACAATGTCGCTCAGGCTCCTAAATTGGAGCTCGATCAAACTCGGCAGTTCATCTTCACCGTTGCCGGTGCCACCATCATTGGTGAATGCCTTGAGAAGATGGAGGGGCGAATTTCCGAGGACAGAGCACCGCGCAATTTCCATTATCATCCCTTCTTGGTCGCCTTCAAACCAAAAAGGAGGATCACGGGTCGTGAGCAGCTCGAATATCTCATCGTTGTGTTTCATCTGCGCTTGACCAACCTTTTGAATGATGTCCCAAACCATCTCACTGAGGTCCATGAGTGCTTTGGCGCGGTCACCGGCCTTGAGATCTTTCTCGATATCGAGGTCCGTGTGGAGATTTTCGCCAAAACCAGGGTGCAGACCCAGCAGAGCAAGTGCTTCAACCCCTGTAATCAGCGCTGGGGAGGGCGGCCCTGATGTTCCAGACATCTTGGGCGAGTTGGGAATCTGCTCAATCTCTTGGTTCATTTTTGCGTTCTTGGACGTGTTGCTGCTCATTTGTTTTCGTTGCTGATGATTTAGAATTTACTTGATGGTCCTTGTCACGGTATTTATACATTATGGGCGCTTGTCCCAGGCCAGTAGATTTCTTGCAAAGTACCTGTTCATGCGGCATGTCTTGTACTGGGGGCCTTGTAACCTGTAAATCTCACGGACTGGCGTAGAATGTTTCGCACAATGTGCAGTTGGGTATTGTAAGGGGCTTGTAATAATAACAACACGCACTGAAACGCCAGAGCAAGAGGTTCTTCAAGACTGAAACACGATTTCAAAGCCAACGTGATTATTTTTCAGGTTCAATCCTGAAGGGGGATTAGCTTCATGGGAAGAGAATAGCTTCATGGGAAGAGAAATAGATTTCGGGCATGACAGTTGCTGTAGGCGTTGTTTTGCGTTCACCAGAATGAACACCCATTCAGCTCTGCGTCGCCCAGCAGGAACAACATTCTTTACTCAACGTAAACCATGCCGTATCTCATATCTGAAAATTTGAACAGGAGGGAAACGTCTGGTGCACTATACCAATGATAGGTCTATTATGCTGTCATTCATCATTCAATTCTATAAGACTGTCTTTTTTCACAAGGCTTCGTCCTCGACGGCCTCTACGGCAGCCCGAAGGACCTGGCAAATGTGACGCAGCTGCTGCTCTGTCACAATGAAAGGAGGTGCGATCAAAATATGGTCCCCCTTTGTTCCATCCACGGTACCGCCACCAGGGTAGAGAGCCACTCCGGCTTGGTAGGCAACCTGCTGTACCCGGGCACCGAATCCCATTTTAGGATCAAAGGTCTCTTTCGAGGCCCAATCTTGGACAAACTCAACTGCCCAGAACAGACCCCGCCCACGAATGTTGCCGACACTCCGACAATCTCTCAACTCGGAGCGCAACAGGTCTTCTAGCACTCGACCCATCTTGGCACATTGGTCAACCAGATTGTCACGCTGCACAATCTTCTGCACTGCCAATGCTGTCGCGCATGAGATGGGATGCGCTTGGTATGTGTGTCCATTGTTGAAAGCGTTGGTGCCGCTCCTCAGCACATCCACGACTTTGCTGTGGACCAAGACGCCTGCGATGGCTGCGTATCCACCTCCGAGACCTTTTGCGACAGTAACAATATCTGGAACAATGCCTTCTTGCTCGAACGCGAAGAAGGTCCCCGTACGACCAACACCGCACATGATCTCGTCCAGGATCAGGAGGATGCCGTACTTGTCGCACAGAGAGCGCACACCCTTGAAGTAACCTGTTGGTGGGGTGACACAACCAGAGGTGGCGCCCATTATGGTCTCTGCAACGAAAGCGACAACCTTTTCAGGACCGACACGAAGGAACTCATCCTCCAACTCCCGAAGTAGCCTTGCTGTGAACTGGGCCTCACTCTCTTCCTCTCGCATGTAGCGATACGCGTATGGTGGTGATACACTCGATACGTGGGGATAGGCGAACCCCTCGTATGGCACTTTGCGCGCGAGGTTGGACGAGATGGACATGGCGCCAAGTGTGTTTCCGTGATAACTCTGCTGTCTGGAGACAAAATGAACCCTTTTTGTCTCGCCCTTTTCGTAGAAATATTGCCGAGCGAGCTTGAGGGCTGACTCGACAGCCTCGCTGCCGCTGCCGACAAAAAGCGCTTTCTCCAGACCGTGCGGGTTGCCGTTGAGAAGTATGTGGGCGAGCCCCTCGGCCGCTGGTGTAGTGTAGGCTTGTGTGTGGACGTAACTAACTTTGCTTGCTTGCTCGAGCATGGCGGCTTGAACTTCTTCATTGCCGTGACCGATGAGGGCGACGGCTGCGCCGCCGCAAGCATCAATTACTGTTTGGCCGTTGGACAGGAATAGGTTCAGACCCTTGGCAGACTCAACCATGGCTGGCGTGTGAACGAGAGACCGATGAAGCAGGTGGCCATCCCTAGAGAGTTTGGAGGTTGCATGCGGTGATGAGTTGCAAGGGAGCGGACAAGGCTCAGTCGCAACGGCGTCATCTCTTGATGGAGCCATGGTGATGCGGCAACGGTGATTTCTGTGTCAATGAAAGGGATCGAGGATGGTATTTTCGAGTTGTTCGGTGTGCAAGATACGATGAATCAAATTGAGGTGAGTGCTCTCATGTCACATCCAGGATGGCAACATCCTCTCTATAAGTCATAGGTCTCGCAACGTCCGTTGTGCTAGATTCGCGAGTGAGTCACGCAAAGCCGATATGTCCGACTTTCTGGCTCGGCTTAGGTTCGGGCACGGCTTTCGGATTGCACGCCTTTCCCGGTGACCTTTTCGGGCTGTTGATTGTTGTGGTGGACCTTAAACTTCCGATAGCCGACCCTGGATCGGCTTTGCGTGCAGAGCCTCAAATCCGAATGCCGTTCTCACGGCTCACGGTATGAGCGAGATCTAACATTATCAACATGTATATCTCATAGTGCACTTTCTTCCACGTAGGTAAATACTTCGTCTTACTTTGTTCTCCGCTCATTTTTTTTGTTGCGCAGCTCAATTATCATCATGAAGCAAAACGCCCTTTTCACAAGCTTCCCGGCCATGTCGTCTGCCGAATCCGAAAATGGCAACGATGCTAGCCAATCAGATAATGATTATAACCTCGAAAAGCCTGAATTCGATGATTTCGACGGGAAGCAGGCTTGGGTCGTGGTCACCGCAGCCGCTTGCTCGTTATTTGTATATCTGGGTGTTCTCTATTCTTGGGGCGTCATGCAAGTTAGACTGCTGGAGACCAGCTCGACATCACTTACGACGCTGATGTTCATCGGCTCCCTGGCATCGTCTTTCATGGTGTCAGTTAGTATACCGGCCGGACTCATGGTACGAAAGTTCGGGTATCGAATCACGGCTTTGACCGGAGCAATGATGATGGGGCTCGGAGAGTTTCTGGCAAGTTGGTTGCCTCACCGTGTTGAGGCGCTGTTCATTGTTCACGGCGTCATGTTTGGCATGGGCGGCGGACTATCCATCTTTGTGAGTTGGTTGCAAACAATACTTGACCGTGACCAAGCTGACAGCCAAGGCCGTCTCAACCGCTCCTGTTCGTTGGTTCAAGAAACACCGAGGCCTCTCCATGGGCATCGTTCTTGGCGGCGGCAGCGTCGGATCAGCAGTCATGAGTGTGGTCACGACTGTTCTGGTCAAGCATGTGGACGTCGCCTGGACCTTTCGCATCCTTGGGTTCCTCCTCTGGGCAGTCTGCATCCCATCAGCATTCTTGATCCGGCCACCCCCTGGCTCGGACAACTCGCATCTCCAACTGCAATGGTATGTGTAAACGAGCATGGTCCTGTGCTTGAGTTTGACAATGATAGGTTCCGTTTCCGAGATACCAAGTTCCTAATCCTTCTCCTCGGCACCGCCTGCGCAACCTTCCCCCTCTTTATCCCACCTTACTTCATTCCGATTTTCGCTCGCACTGTGACGTCTTGGGAGCATGCTGCCGTTCTTGGCCTCGCCGTTTGGAACGTCGCGTCAACGATCGGCCGCGTCGGCGCCGGGCACCTATCGGACTGTCTCCTCGGTCCAATGAACAGCCTAGTGCTGTGCCTGCTTCTCACGGGCCTAAGCATGCTCGTTGTGTGGCCATTTGCGTCATCAATGGCAGTGCTCATGACTTTCATCGTCTTGAACGGCATTGGATGCGGCGCGTTCTTCAGTCTGGTACCAGTGGTGCTAGGGTCTGCATTCGGAGCCACGAATGTGTTGGGGACAATCCCGTTGATTTGGACGACGTGGTTCTTCGGTTTCTTCTTTGTAGGTGACCCTCCTGTCGGCTCTGTGGGGTATGGTTGTTTCTGAGCTCTGCTAATGATTGAATTCAGGGTTCACCCATTGGTTCCGGTCTCTACTCGTTGGCAGGACGGGGCGACAGCGTCGAGGCGTATCGGCCAGCAGCGTACTATGGCGGCGCCATGTCTCTGATGGGCATGTTCTTCATCCTCGCGGTTCGGTCGATGCAGAACAAGACCGTCTTCACGAAGGTGTGAAAAGTCTGCATGATGCGCTGATGATTATGATTCATGAGATAGACCTTAGACAACCGAAAATAGAATGAGAATCATGCACACGACAGCTCAGGCGTTCATGACTCCGCCAAAAGAGCCAGTCATGTCTACGTCCTCTAGCATAGACCACCAGTTCGGCCAGACGACTTGCTCGTCGCTACCGCTACTCGCCTCTGCCAACATCTGTCCCAGCAGCGCGCTCGCATCGGCGGGTGGCTGCTCGTCCCCGGCAGTAGTCGACGTCGTTGGTGGATTGGTCGGCGTTGGCAAGGGCTCCGTCGGCGTCTCGGCGCTGTTGATCTCCTGCAAATGCTGGTCTGAACGGTCGACGTTGCGGAATTCATGGAGGGACTGGTGGAGATGGTTGAAGTCGCTCCGCGACTTGCCTCGGTAACGGGAACGATTTGCTGCCGCACGCTCGTAGAGAAGGGACGTGTTTTGTATCGTTTTGATCTGGTCGATGTCAGGTTTCAACCAGATAGATTGAGTACAAGAAAATGAAGCTCACCCATCCAGAACCCAGCTTCCAAACCGACTGAAACTCCTTCAGATAGTCAAGAGTCCAGTTCATGAGCTTTGCGGCATCGGGGCTTCTCCCCAGGTTCATCCGAGGAAAGAAGGAGACGTAAAGATTCATGCAACACGCTGTGAAGGCGCAAAAGCCGACAAAGGGTGTCATGAGTAGGCCACCGCACTCGGCAGTCTCATGCAGCAGCCGCGCGATCTTTTCGGCAGCACCGAAAAACTCACGGGCCGACTCGTCCCACCATCCCGCGGGCGCTTCAGCCTGGAGACACGGATCTACCGGGCCCCGGGGGATCTGGTCTTGCTCCGGCAACAGGGGAAAGTATTCTCGGTGAAGCATGAGAGTGCTGCATTGTCAGTTTCTGCGCATTTCTCAGAGCCAAGGAGGCCTCGCAGCCATGTACACATACCTCACATAGTAGAGAAGGTTCAAGTACGTGAACGATTCGCCATATCCCAGAGAAATGTGCACAGCCGCGCTGTTCTCAGGATACAGCAGCCTCCGATGCTGACCGGCCCTCCACTCCTCCAGGCTCCTCCTCAGCTCAGCCCAGACGGTGCCCTCGACCCATGGACAGTTCTCGGCGCGACACATGCCCTCGGCCCTACGGCCGTCGTTGAAAACAAAGGCCATGACTTGAGCCCATACGTCGAAGCCGCCGACCATGATCTCGAAGCTCTGCGTGATGTCGAGCGGGCCGGAGACGCTGGGCTCGGCTGCAGCGGGTGGTGCGGCCGGACCAAAGGCGAACTCGACGGCAGACAGGGGACGACCGACGCGGAGCTTGCGCATCTCGGTGCGGGGAAGCATGCGAGGGTTGTAGGTGCCCGCATTGACGGTGCAGTCCATGATGAAGCAAGCCCAGTAGGTACGGGACTCGACGGCAAGGGTCAAGGGGTCATTGGGTGCGGGTGAAGGTATATCAAGGGGGTAGGGGGCCACGCGGGCCGAATGTAGGGCCTGCATGATGCGGATGGCGATGCCTGGCGTGCGTCAGCTTTTTTGTTGCGTGAAGCAGTGCCTGATGGGGCGGAAAGGAGAACAAGGACTTACCACAGTAGATCCATGCCCGGTGAAAGTCGCGTGAGCCCCATTCGTGAAGCGTGATGATCAGAAGCGTCTGGACGACTTGCACCTTTGGCGGCTGCAAGATGAATTCGGAGAGATGCTCTTTCGCATAGGAGGCATAGGCATCGCGCGACAGCAAGATGCGGTCTTCATGGTCACGCAACTGGTCTCTTGTGACGGCAAGGGCGGCGGCTAGGAGGACTTGACTCTCTTTCTGGGACCTCGGATCGACCAGATCGCGCATGAAGACGGTAGGATGAAGGACTGCGAGCTCGGGATACTTGCAGCTGAAGATGTTGAGCGTCTTGAGAATGATGCTGTTCGGTATGGCAGCAAGATGTGCTGTGATGCTTCCGAGGCTCGGGGCCTCGTAAGACTGACCGGGAGGATGTCCATGTCCGCGAACATGACGCTGGCTGGAACTTCTGATACTTGCGGTGACTACCGAACCTGAAGAATTTGGGCCCGTCTCACGAGCCTCGAGGACAGCATCTCCTGGTGTGTCATCTCGAGAGCCTCCAGCAGCAAGTCTCACCCTCTTCGGCGTCCTGGCACCAGGCTTGTCTGGTCTCGAGAGCCTACACTCGAGGTTCCCCGCCTTCTCGCACTTGCGACACGGCGGATGCCCCTCGTTGACGCACTTGACTTTGTTCCGCCTACCGACGGGTAAGCCCAGATTAGCATCAGATCGGTCACGCCATCGAAACACGGGGTAAAGCCGAGGGAGATCAGTCCACCTTCGAGGGGAAGAATACGGGGTAGATGGACGCATGTCATAATGGCCCGAGGCAGAATAAGGCAATATGGGGTAGAGACGGCTCAAAGTCTCGGCTCTCTCCCTTTCCCCAGATCCACTTACCGACAGACATCGCATGACAAGCTGGACCTCATGGCAGATGGGTCTCTCCAACGAATCGCATCGGCTTTGGGCAAGAGTACACGATGAATAGTGCTACAAGCAAGTCGAAATTGAAAAGCGAGGGGTGGGAAAAACTCAAACCCGAGCTTTTGCTGAATCGAGTCTTTCTCGCATTTCCGCTCCCCCGCTTCCCGATGCCTTAGTGCCGGGTAGCGTCCTCCGGGATCGGATCATCCACCACGTTTTTTTTCTTCGTATTTGTTTTCCTCGAAATTTCTGGCCAGCCAGCAGAATCCGAAGACCGAAGCACGGCCGCCCAGAACGGGAAAAGAGAAACAGGGCGCGCGGTCCGACCCGGGAAGTTCGCCGCACCTCTCTCCCCATTATGCACCAGGATACCTGTAAAGGCGTGTGACATGGCTTCTTCCCCTCAGTCGCAGGGAGCGTTCGTGACGACGCTTTACATAAACAGAGTTTCAATATTGTCTGCTCTCTGCCATTTTCCCCCAGGAATCGTGTCATAGTTATCATGTAAAAGGCAAAAGGCGTGCCTCTCCCCACGGGGAAATAGGGGCCAGCAGCACCCATCTGGCATTTCGTTTGTCATGGCGAGGGGCACAAAGGATGACGGCTTCATGCGACGGCGCTCGATCGGTGGGCCGAGTCACACAGAGAATTGCGGGCTTGGCTGGAACCGGGGGGGTCGCGGTCACGGTCCGGGTTTGGGTGCTCCGTGAGGCTCTTGCGGCCCTCCTCGAGCGCAGTCGAGTGCCTAATGGATTGACAGTTATTAGTCAAAGGTCCATTTCTTTGCTCCATACCGGGTCCATTTCTTCATCTAGTCCCGCTCCGATCCTCTGTCGAGAGGGCGTCTTGGAGGCGGACCAATACGTAAGGCTTACCCAACGGCAGATTTTTTACGGAACCCGCGGCGGGCCTTCGAAAAGCTTAACGTGCGTTCCATGGAATGTCTCGTGTGCTTCTCTGCATACAAAGAAGAACAAATTTGGAGAGGGGGCGCACTGTAGGTGCGTGTGGCTTGCAGGATCGGAATGTCTCACGGCTGACGACGAGAAAAAGTCAAATCCTAGCTTCATTCCATTTGAGCCGACTGCCTGCGCGCGCAGCAACCTGTGGCAAGCCGTCACAATCTGCCTGTGATGTCTCGTAATAGCCGGGGAGGCCCTAGCCCCTTCAACGCCTAGCCCGGCCAGAAAAGCGAGAGGCCGGCCTTCTTCCGCACCGAGGCTCACGTCCGGGGGGCCCGATGGGCGCCTGGAGCACCCTAACGCCAGAGCGCCAGAGGACAATGAGTCGGCGCCGCCAGGTTCTGGACGAGTCACAGGCCGTCCATTTCTGGGCCCGGCTCCATGCCGCAGCTGTCGGCCGAATTTCGCCCTCGCGCGGGACCCATCATTGACGCATCGCCTCCTTGCTGGACCTGTTGTAACTGTTGGCCTCGTGGTATTAGTCAATGCGAAGGAGCCGATCGCGGAATGGCCATGTGGGATATATCTTGAAGCTGCACCCGGTCGAGCTGTCAGGAATGTGCACGGTTTTGCAGTGGTTCTCTGGTTTTCCTCTTTTCTGACTCAGACTGCTGCTCTAGAGTCTAGACAATTCAGGTGCTGTCTTTGCAAGTCAGTGTCGCGACAACAGGTGAAGGACACATTGGTCTGCCTGCCACTCCTTGACAGACCTCAACATCAATCTCTCTCCATATCATCCTATCGCACACAACATGGGCAACTCTGCCGACTGGACGAATGCCCCCGACGCTGACGTGTCGGGTGGTCCCAACACCAAGAACGAGGGCTATGGCGAAGCCGTGCCCACGTACGAGGCGCCCGCCGCCAACAACGACGACGGCGGCATGCTCTCAAGCGAGGAGGGTGAACTCATCAACTACAAGACTCTCAACTGGTGGTATGTTCTCTTTTTTGGTCAATCAGTCGTCAGAAGTGTTTCGGGCAGCTGACAATTTCTCAGGCAAGGAGGTATCGTTCTCATTGCTGAGACGGTCTCCCTCGGCATTCTCTCCCTGCCTTCGGTGCTGGCCACCGTCGGTCTCGTGCCCGCCATTGTGCTTATCCTCGTCATGAGCGCGCTGTCGACATACTCGGGCGTCGTGCTCGCCGAATTCCGCCGCGCCTATCCCTTTGTGCAGAACTTTGGCGACGCCGTCGAGGTCATGGGCAAGCCCATCGGCATGGGCCGCCTCTTCCAGGAGATCTTCGGTTGGGCGCAGGTCATCTTCCAGGTCTTCGTCATGGGCTCCCACCTGCTGACCTGGACCATCTGCCTCAACACGCTGACCAACAGCTCGACCTGCACCATCGTCTGGGCCGTCGTCGGTCTCGCCGTCTTCTGGGTCCTTAACCTGCCGCGCACCCTCAAGTGGACATCGTACATGTCCATGACATCGTGCCTCTCCATCACCGTCGCCATGCTCATGACGCTCGGCGACGTCGCCGCCGAGAAGCCCATCGGCTCAGGCTCGATCGAAGTCGCCCGCCACCTCGGCTTCACCGGCGCATTCCTCGCCGTCACCAACATTGCCGTGGCCTTCTCGAGCCACTCGTGCTTCTTCAGCGTCATTGGCGAGTTCAAGAACCCCGACGACTGGCCCAAGGCGCTTGCCCTGCTCCAGATCTGCGACACGACCCTCTACCTCCTCGCCGCCATTGTCATCTACGTCTACGTCGGCCAGGACGTCCCGTCGCCGGCCCTCAGCGCCGCGCACTCTCCCACAATGCGCAAGGCCATCTGGGGCGTCGCCATCCCCACCATTGTCATCGCCGGCGTCATCTACGGCCACGTTGCCGCCAAGTACATCTTCTCCCGCATGTTCCGCGATACCAAGCACATGATCCGCCGCACCAAGCTCTCCAACCTCGCCTGGGTCGCCGTCACCTTCGGCATCTGGGTCCTCGCCACCGTCATCGCCGAGTCCATTCCCGTCTTCAACAGCCTGCTCGGCCTCATCGCTGCCCTCTTCGCCAGCTGGTTCTCCTACGGCCTCCCCGGCATCTTCTGGCTGTGGATGCACAAGGGAAACTACTTCTCCAGCAAGGCGCAGACGTGCCGCTTCGTCGCCAACGTCGTGCTCTTCCTGACTGGCTTCCTCATCTGCGTGCTCGGCCTGTGGGCTTCCATCGAGGCCATCGCCACGGAGAAGGGCACGAAGCCTTGGACGTGCGCTAGCAATGCTGCCGAGTAAAGGGACTAGTGGTCTGGGATAGAGAGTTGATCCATAGCGATTTGTATCCATGATTTTTTCGACTATTTCCACTTTCTTCTTGTGACTGCCTGTGAAATTTGTGATGTAGATGAATTCTCACGGAAAGTCGCTTCCTTACCTTGACGATCTCCCGCTGACGAACGCGACAACATTATACGAACCCGTGGCAACGATTTTCACCTTGCGATGCGAGCTGCGTGACAGAATACAGCGGCCCGCCGTTTCCACACCCAGCAACTCCCCGGCGAACCCCTTGACGGCAGTGCCGACAGAGCGCCAATCGACGACGACGACGTTGACCGCACGCCGCTGGTCTGTCGCGCACCTCGAGACAGATAATAATGAGCTCAGGACTATCTAGACTCCAGTGAGCCCGACCACACATGGACGCCATGTACGTCAGTCACGCCGGCGTGGGGTCTGCTCTCCACGCTGGACTTTTATGCTGATGTCGTGCCCTTAACGTTCCGCATCCTATACCGCCCCAAGATTCTGGCCCTCAATACTCTCAATACTCCCAACCAAACTGAGGGCGAGGCGGCCGAGAGCTGTAATGAGTTTCTCTTGGCTCATCGTGAATGTCCCAGTCGATGGGCGAGGAACCTCGAGGCGGTCAATGGCGTCATCGCCCGCACCGGCGTGCTCCATCACGAAGTCTATGGTCAATGCTCAGCTCTTGGGGAGGGTCAAGAGGGCCCTGATGTCTTGGAGCATGACTTTTAGCACGGAGAGTAGCACATATTCGCCTGTGATGTGTGGCTCGTGGCGAGGCGAGAGGATACGTTCCTTGGACACGTGAAGACGTTGGAGGAAACAGATGCGAGAGGGTGCCAACAGAGGTGCTTGTCTCGTTCGTAGGAAGCATCTTCGGAGCCTGGTTGCCTCCGGGATGGCAGTATCATACGTACGGCAGGGTGCATGTAGCATTGCGTATGGCAAGATTAGCGTGATCGAGGCGAGGGCTTGGTGAGGTGGACGGGATGCTGCAGAGCCTTGTCAGACGTCTCAGCATATACAGTCGTACGCAGGCGGGCGTATGATGGGTCATTTGCCCAAAATTACAGTCTACGGGTAAAGAAACGGCCATCGAGGGCAAGATTGCGGGACTAGACTCAGGAGAATCGCAATCTGATGTTGACCTGGTGATGTACTGTTGGCGTTCAGAAGGGATCAGGCAAGGTTGGAAATGGCGACACAGGAGCGCCGTATCGCTGGCCCAAATGCTGAGTCATGATCATGTGACTTGGCGTCTGACGCTTGAATCCTGACGCGTCTCGCCCTTGGGTGAATTTGCTGACCTAAGGCGCCTCAGCCCGTTTCCTGCTCTGGCTCCCTGTCGTCGACCTCATCCATCAAACCCTCGACTGATCATTTCATCTACCAACTCTCATTTAATCCACCTCCCATCCATTTAGTCTTTAATAATGTCCTAGAACCTCCTTGTTGAGCAGCCATATTCGAGGAGACCGTTGTTAGACCTCCAGACGCCTGCCATCGTTGGCACCACCATGGCAAGACTTCGGCCAGAGGAGCCTCAAGACTCCGCCTCGGAGGACAACTCATCAGTCATCGAACAGGAGGTCAGGATCGTTGGTGTCGAAGACTCTGAGTCGTCAGGCTCAGACGCTGAAGAATCTGACAGCTCCGATGGCTCGCAAGCGCCCCGAAGAAAGGCCCGTCACGGTGACTTCTTCGACACGGAAGCCCTCGACGACAGCGCCAGCGAAAGCGAAGATGGCGACGGCTCTGACGATTCGGACGATTCGGACGATTCTGATCCCTATGGAAACTCCGGAGCACGAGCGAAGCCCTTTTGGGGACACGCTGTCGCTGGACCCCGCTCCTTCCCTCAGTTCATGCGGCTACCTATTGAGCTGCGTGCGCTCATCTGGCACCATTTTTGCGATGATCTGAACGTATCTCACCGCGTTCTGGAGTTTTCTATTCACAGAAACATGCACGGAAAGTGGAAAGCTTTTGCCGGCAGCTCGTTGCTCGCAAGGACGACCGCCTCGCGGGCCATGCTCTCCGTCTACCACGAAACCCGCAACCTGTACCTCGGCAGGTATCCACATGCCCTCGACTTCTCAACCGAAGAAGCAAAGCCCGCCACGTTTCACTTTAACCGGGATAGCGATATCATCATGATCTCGGCCAGCGACATCGACAACGGCCTGGAGCACCCAGCACCCTCTAGCCATGCGGACGGTCCCGACGCCTTTGAAATCCCCGGCTTCTCAGACAGGATCAATCATCTCGGCGTGCAACTGCCGCTTAACAGAGGGAGCGACGTGGACCTCGTCCCCTATCAGTACTTTCTGAGCATGCGCAACTTGAAGGCCGTGTACCCCTGCTTCGACGTCGATGCCCATCAAATTCACGTGTCAGACTTGAAATGGTGTTTCTCCGACCACGCTGTTTCTTGCCATGCAGATACGGAGGAAATCGAGCCAGGTCTCGGCGAGGATTTCGAGATGATTTATGTGTGGCATGACCCCATCGCCGAGTGCGACGAGGAAGGTGACTGTTCCCCCGTGACTGCTTACACTGGCCTTGGGCCCCTGAGAGAGAGTCTCGTGCATTTCGACGAAGACGAGTTCGATGAACTGAGCGAAGAAGCCAGGTTGGCCACGCTCAAGGAAACGGACAGGCTCGGTGCAATCATGCTCTGCCCTATGAGGCTGTTCTCCGGCAACAGCCACGACGCTCTGCTCAATGTGCTGCGCCAAGCTCGATTGCCCGACGGTACGTGGGATGAGGAGCTCCTAGGTCGATTCATGGGGGACGACGATGTGGCAGAGCCCGACTCGTTTCTGGACAACTACGATAGCGACGGTATCGACGACGCTACAGTCCCAGAACCCGAGACGGATGACGACGAGGGCTCTGGAATCGAGGACGACACGCTGGCGATAGAGCTGGCTCAAGGTTGGACTGGGTCTTCTGCTGGGTTCTCGCCGGTGGAAGGTGAGATCCAGACGCTCGATCATAGCGTATACACTATTCATGACTCCTCAGAAGAGGACGAAGCAGACATCTCAGAGGAAGAGGAGGCAGCGTCGCCGCCGAGATCACCAACTAAGCGGATAAGGGGTCGCCAGATCATCGAGGACGACAGCGACGAGGATGTAGCTGGTGACGAGTCAGTCATGGAGATCGCGGCGCCAGAGCCATCGCGGAGTAAGAAGCGATCACGCGTCATTCTATCTGAGGATGAAGACGAGGAAGAGTCTGCAGTACAAAGCAGGCCCGCAAAACGAGCACGACCAGTCGTCATCGATGACGAGGAGGAGGAGGAGGAAGAGTCTGAAATTGAGGAGGTTGCTCAGAAGATTCGCGGACGCGGTTCCAGCACGAGGGCGCCTGTGGTTCTGTCAGATTCGGAAGAGGAGGAGTCTGATGACGAGGATGAAGATGAGCCACCAAAAACACTTTCACTCGCAGAACGCCTGCGATTACACCGAGAGGCGAACCCCATTGATGATTCGGAAGAAGGCTCCGGATCAGAAGAAGAGGAAAATGACTACACCAGAGGCACGGACGAGGACGACTCGGACAGAGATTCGGATGATCTGGTGCTAGGAATGGCAGACGATGGCGAAGAAGAAGACGAAGAAGAAGACGAATACGATGACGGATACCACTAGATATCTCCCGCCATGAAATCCCAAACTCAGGATACCAGCAAACTTCAAAACGTAATAGAACCTGTCGTGGGCCTAATATGCACCCTCCCTTTCCTCCCAAACCGGCGCTTCCGTCAGCTCGACGTCTCCAAACCCACTCGCCGTGACCATGCCCACATCCCACGCCATACCCTCCACCCTCGCGCCGCCCTCCTCCATCGCCCAAAGCGTAATACCCACCGTATTCGTCCCGTGATAGTCGAGAATTCCCTCCGGTACAGGGAACCTAGCCTGCGGCCCAATATGTGGCACAAACTTGCCAAACTGGAACCCGTTGACGAAAAGCTGCACCCGGTACGCCCCCTTTCCCTCCCCGCTCATGCCGAACCGAACAGCGAGCGGCACATCATACCCGCGCGGCAGGTCGAGCGCAAACTCGGCCGTGTAAAACGACACGCCCGGCGCCGTGCGCCCAGACGTCGGCCCGCCGGCCGCCCAGGACGACGAAGGCGGCGAGGGCTGATGGTAGCCCTGTCGCTCGGCGAATAGGGCGCCTTCGTTCAGCGGGCCGCGCTTCTTGTCAGCGTAGCGCTCGCCGCCGAGGTTACCCGTCAGCTTCCACTTGACGGCGTCGGGCTCGTGGCCTGAGAGGGAGTAAGCGAGAATGCCGCGCGGCGTCTTGAGGTTGTCTTCGCCGAGGACGTAGTTGCCGTTGAGGCCCATGAGGTCGATGAGCACGGTCAGCACGTGCGACGTGTCGGGCTTCAGGGAGGGCAGGGCCAAGGTGAGGGTGCCGCTTGGGGCGGAGGGGGAGCCGGGCCAGGAGCCGAGGTGCTGGTCGTCGAGCCAGATGGAAGCGCCGAAGGCGTGGCCGCCTTGGACGGTGATGTTGAGGGTAGGCTCGGCGGTTTTGGCGGTGAAGTAGCCGCGGTAGATGACGGAGCCGGTGTGGAAGCCATAGTCGCCCGCATAGAGCGAGACGGGTGTCTTGATGGGGAATTTGTCGTTCGGGGAGGCTGTGAGGTCGGCGCCTGTCCAGAGAGAGTCGTCGTATGAAGACTGAATCTCAGGAAGCGAGTCGATCGTCTTCCATTTGAGCTGGCTGAAGCATGGGAGCTTGATCTCAGGCGGAGAGAAGTCTACCGTGGCCGTGATCACGCCATGCGAAGACTGTTCAAAGGACAGTTCTTGGCCATTCCAGGTCAGGGTCTTCAGGTCGGCGGGAGCACCGCCGACAATCTCGATCGGAGTCGTACCGTTGACGTCGCCGACGAGTGCAAGGGTCGACGCGTCAACGTTGGCTGTGCGAACAAGGTAGCCTGCCTTGAGGATGACGTCCGAAGTGCCATAGTG